GTTTCTGGCCCCATTAAATTCCGTGCCCAACTTGACACTATGAGTGCCCAGCAGGAAGGTTGATCCTGTTGTAACTGGAGCTAAATTGTGAAAATTGTCAAAGCCCTTCCACTCCTGCCTGCACACTTTGAGGACTTCTGAATCTCATGAAAGACTTTTTTGGCTCTGACGTGTACAAGTATGATACAGATGCCCTTGCTGCCGTCCCTTATGTACTGTGATTCATAAAGTATCGACAACTTCTTTCCCAACAGATTGCCAGTGTTTTTAAAAAGGTACATCTTCAGTTCACTTAAAAAAAATAACCACCAGGAGCACAAAAGAAAGAAACCAACTACATCTTATATAATTTAGAGATATTTACTAAGGTATCTCCGTTTCAGTATTTACACAGTGTTTGGACTCAATGACACCTATACTGTACAATGTAACACAATTCCAATAAAATAGCCTTGCGACAAATAATATTGTCATGAAGCTCTGAGTTGTGCTATTGTGCTATTGTATGTGGTATTTACTTCATGTCAGATGGGTTTTGAGACTGGCAGAGAGGTGATAATTCAACTGTATGGATGTTTTTTGTGGCATTGTCTGCCCTTCAGTACAACAGCTACCAAAGACTCAACACATTTCTGACACATCCTCAACGAAAAACATAATCAACTTCCCATAGATGCATGTTTTGTAACATTTTTCATGATTTTTCTTTTGGTGTATGTCCACCCATGTATGTTCTGTGGTAGTTAAGATTAAAGAAACTCTTGGTGTGTGAAAGGCCCTGTAAAGGTGAAATTGTATGGAAATGGAACTTTTGCTGAGAAGATGAGATGAATTTTCTAACAGATGGAATCACAGAGGTCACTTTGCAAATGCTGCCTCATTAAAATGGAGGGACATTCTTTCTCCTGTTCTTTGTCCTTCAGGTGGGCTGTGCCCATGTTTGGGCGAGAAAGACATGCCACTGTGGTAATTTCCCACATTCGCCCCACAGCCTCAGGAAATCCTTGGTTATTCTATTTCTGAGATTTTCAGTATATCTGAACGCCATCTCATATTGGATAGTGTAGGACATTCTTTTCTAATAAAATCAAGTGTGACACTGTAATGTTGTGGCAAAGCTCCAGGAAGGAAGCTTAGTTGGTGGTGTCAGGGGAGCTACGGGTGACAGGGTGACCAGTGCCCAGCGGAGGCCACATGGGCAACGTCCCACCTGGCTCTGTCACATACGCCACCAGAATTAGACAAGCCATGCTAAAATGGAAGCTGGTGTTGTCTAGCATGTGACTGACCTTTTTATAGATGATTAAATCTGGCAGCCACACAATGTGCTCTGCTGTTCTGTAATCTGTTTAAACATTATATACCACTATCTCACTGTGTAACTCACTTTTTGTCAGTCGCTGGAGAATAGATGCTCCCTTTTTTCTTATCTTGTCTTTCCTCGCTTTCTTTTCTTAAAACCTCTGTTTTCCTCTCTTTCTGTCTCTCTCACTCAGCTCAGTTCAGTCCACCTGTCAAAACCCATGCAGCAGCAGCAGCAACAACAACAACAAAATATGAACACAAATCCCTGATAGAAAGTATAAAATCTCACTCTTCCATTCCCTCCTTTTGAATTCATAAGCCAGACTTCCTTTTGCTAACTCTCTTTTCTCAGGCTTGCTAGCAGGTGTGATATTGGCACTGGCAAATTGATAACATGATAGAAAGCTATACTGGAAGTCCCTGACTGCATTGTGGTAGGCTTTCTTTCAAGTGCTGCCCTCTTCCATTTTGCCTTTAGCTGTCCTTGGAGACAGATTTCCCTACTTCCTTCCTCAAAGCCCTCAGACTTCTTGTCTCCTCTTTGAACATTTCTCCTCCCTTTTTCAATTCGGATGGAAGTTTATATCTCAATTTCACCTTTTGGATATGCACTACATCTGTCTCTCCTTTGTGACAGTTGTCGCCGCCTTCTGTTTTGATGGCGGTGTGATTTGTTTAGAGTTTAGTCTAACTTCAGATCACTTACTCCCTCTTTCGCTGAATTTCAGCAGCTCTCCAGTGACACTGGTTGCCTTGGCTCAGTCATTCTCACTTATCTCTCTGCTATTTTATTTCTGTGTGAGTCTCTTTGTGTCTAGCAGCATTTTCTTGTCTAAAGCTGCACAGCTGCTGCACCTTCACCTCTACTGATGCCGCCGTTTCATTATCTCCTTAAAGTTTGTTCCCTTAGAGAAAAGCATTTTAACTGTGTCACCGTTTTGTGTTTACGTGCTAAATTCATCCAGGGCATTTTAATGCATCTCAATACATCAACCCCACAACAAATACTGCTTTGTTTAATATCAGTGTCCAGGTTTTGTTACAAATTTATCAAAGGGTTACTTTGACTCTGAAGCTGGGCTAGATGAGGTGTCACCTTCTCTCTGAATTTATAGATGCATTATTTGCTACAAGCCTTGGTTTCTAGAGTTAAACACCTTTACTCTACAAACGTTAGCAGTTAAGTAGCAAGTCAGCTCACCTATTGGAATATTTTCTGTAGAGAAAGTAATGCAGCCGATCAGCATGGGAGCTTAGATCTCATTCAGTTCATTCAATTCAATCATTTAATTAGTTCTCCATGTGTAATTGCCACAAATATGTCATGGGATTGTACAGAATCTGCACTCATCTGTTTTGATGTGGCATTTCAATGGGACACCTCTGCGCCTACGTCCTTTCATCCACACATCCCTCTCTCTAGCAGTGGATCGCTTTGCTGCAGGGCTTTCACCATGCTGTGTTGTCTCTATTTCCTCTCCCTCCTGCTCCCTTGTGACATTATTCCTTTTGTATGATTTTTAAAAGACTACTTCCCATTGCTGTTATTCCAAATTTCTTTGGGCTCCATCCTCTCCTCCCTCTTTCTCTTTCATTATGTTGGTCCTCCCAACTACCAAGCTCTCTCTCTCTTTTTTCCATACCCAGGTGTATTTTCTGTTGTGTACACAGATTTTCTCTCTTATTCTATTCCAGTGATGGATTTAAATACCTCCCCTCAATCACTCCACCCTCATTTCCAGGCTATTTCCTTGAGGACCATTTGGGCCCACCCCTCTATCTTCTCCCCCTCACTGTCTGTCAGTCTCTCCCCATTCACCCATCCTTCTTTCATCTCAATCTCTCCCCTGGTGATTTGGGTAGAAACCATCCCCTATCTTCGCCTTCTCCCTCAATCCCTCTCCTCCACCTCCTGAGATCTCAACGGCCTCATTCCTACCTTGAAATTCACCCGTTCTTTATGTCTGGCTCTATCAATCACTCAAACAATTAGTTTTTCCTGCCCATCCGTCTTTTTTCCATTCAACCTTGGCTGCCATTTTCCATACTTTCCCTCAATCCTTCTGATTATACCAACAGTTTTTCACACATCCAATCATCTTTCCATCCGTCTGTCTTCCCTGTTCCTTTCCTGTCATATGGTTGGCTCCCTTTACCCCTTCTCGATACCACTTAAAGCTTAGTGCCATCTTTATAATACCTTGGGGAAACCACATTCAATCCCGCATCCGTGCAGAATGAAATCAAAAACATAAATACACATAATGCCATGATGGCAGTCCCTGCATAACTTTTTCTCTCCTCTTCTTATTCCATCTCACTATTTGGGGTTTTGCTGTAGCAACAACCATACACATAAATGTTTCATCAGTCTGTGCTTGTAAATACTGAGGCAGTAAACTCTGAATACAGACACAATTCATGTGCAGTGCAGTAGTTATACATGTTCACCAGGTAGCTCCTGTCATATTTTGAAAGAAAAGACTTCTGTCCTGCTTCGGTCCATCTTATTTCTTCATGTTTGACTCATTTGCTCTCTTCTCGTCCTCTTCAATCAGACTTCACATATCTGCCCATGTTTCTGTTCATATTTGAGAAGTTAGTTTTTAAGGGCTTCTGATTCACAATGTGAGCGCAGAAAGTGTGAAACGGAAAAGGTTTGTTCTACATACTCCTTGCTTTGAATTGTTGTTCTTATCGTAGTAGAACTTCTCGTCTCTTTTTGCTATAGACTCGAGGCTTCCAGTATACAAATTGGCTCACAGAGATGCATAGAAAGAGTGAGCAAAGAGCTTTGCAAAGGCTTTCTTAGGTATGCAGAGTAGGTTTTCACCTCATGTTTATCCAAAAGTGAAGCCTTAACTCATAAGACAGGGTGTGGTGGTGGTCTTTAAATAATTTGTGGTAACAAGAAGAACATTGCAGCCCTTAACCTCAAAGCTGGTCTATAAATGTTTGATTATTTTTCTGCCTCTGAGAGCATGTTGAGTAAACATGGACACTGAAGTGTGGGGGGGATCTTATTTTAAATGCAAAGTGACATTGCTCACTGAAGATTTAAATGTTACTTCAAATTAAAAATGACATCTACCATCAAGTTCCTCTGTTACTTTCCCATTAATACTGGCACATGCTACTGTATGTCACTAAATATTGCTGTAGATGTATCTTGCATTCAGAGTCAGACACTTTCTGCTTGCCTCAAGATGTTACAGAATCTTAGACTGTCACTAACCTTAAAAATCTCTCCTCCCTCAAAATCCCCTTTATTCCTTAAACATTTTCTCCACTTGCTCTGCCACCCTACTCTCATCCATATGCACTAACTGTTCACCTGTTGGGTTTTTATGTCATAGAGTGATGGAGATAAATTATTAACTACCTTCGCCCCTCTATCCCTTCATCTGTCTCCCCATTCATCCTTCCCTTGAGCGATCCACTCGTCCATGTACAAGGTGAACAGTTGCACTACTGAAGTGTCATGCTGTAATGGATAAATATTTAAGGGTTTTTGCATGAAAAAAGGGAGGAAGGAACTGACAAAAATGAAAGGTGGTTGCAAGAAAAGGAGAAGCTGTAAGACAATAACCAATACCTGTTGGCAAGTGTCAAAGCTATTGTTAAAGTTGCAAATGCAGAATGGCGACCATTGTTTACATGGTGTGTAATGTAAATAGTAATAAGGTTTAACTGACCTGTAGATGAGGGTCTCGTCTGCGGTGCAGTTGTACTGTATCTGATACATCCAGACAACATAAGCTGCAGATGAACGCCCCAAATCCCATCGGACCTGAGCCGAGGTTGATGTAACCCCTTGTACTCCCACCATCCTCCCTTCCTCCTCATCCCCTTCCTCGTCCTCCATGCTCCCGCCATCAGCTCTCTCTCCTTCGGAGGCCCTGCCACCATCGCCCTCTTCACCCTCCGCTCCATCTCTTCTTCCGTCCTCCACCTCTCCTCCACGTCCTACGCCATTGTTAATCCCTCCATTTTTCCCTGTGCTGATATCCGAGGAGCCTGGATCAGTCCGTAAAATTCCATTGGTCACGTTCCTGTTGTTCTTGGTGTTCACATTGTTATTCCCTGTATTTCCGCTTGCTCCTCCCCGATGAGGAAGGGGGATTATTTTCAGGTCCACAGTAGCAGTCGCTTCACCTGCTGCATTTATTGCGATACACGTGTATGCCCCATCATCCCGGGCAACAGTTACTAAGATATCCAAGGTCCCGTTGCTGAAGGAGCTGGTCCGGGACGAGTTCGCAATGATGCGGTCATCTGGTGAAACCCAGTGGACTACTGGCTCAGGGTCGCCAATAGAACGGCACTTTAGCGTGGCTCGCTGGCCCTCTAAGACCCACAGCTTGTGGGTGTGACGGGTGATGAGTGGTGGTTCACAAGTAAACTCCTCCTCAGGAATTGACCAGAAATATCTGAGGGACAAAGAGAGGGAAGAGGGATGAAGCCAATGAGAGAGAAAGAGAAGAGGGAGAGAGAGGTAGAGTGGAGTCATTATTTTGGATACGCTCAGAAATTTTTCCCTCTGAGGTGGGTTTGGCAGATTAATGTAGAACATTAACCTAAAGAGCTAGGTGCTTTTGTCTATCAATTTAAGGGTAAAGTTCAGTAATGCACAACAATGTGAACAATTTCCCATGCTACTCTGCAGAAAATAAGACTAAGTAAAGAGTAATTAATGGTGACAGCAATGACTGATGACAGCAACAGATGTTCACTTTCCTTTGTTTTCACTACATACTTCTGACTGCAGGGTTAGACCGAAATAATTCTGCGAGAGTCTGAAGTAGCAGAATAATTACAACCGATATATCACACCACTGTTTGAAAACTCAGTCCTTACGGCCTACCTATCCTGCGAGTTTTTGCTCCAGTTCTATTCTTAGACACATGATGATCCAATTAAGGCATCATAGAATGTGAGGCCCTTAATTGAATGTGTGCTAAAACAGGGCTGGAGCAAAAACTGGACAGAACCTGGCCTGGAGCCAAAGTTGGAAATCACTAATGATTTTCAATTGGACTTAACACATCATTCAACCATTCAGACTCTTCCTCTTCTCCCCCTGATGTTGAAGAAGGCTTCACTGTTTAAAAGGTTGAGGATAAACAGTTGATCGAATGCTTAGTGGGCTGGACAAATAATCCATTGATTAGTTGGTGGCATTTACCTTCCAGCCAAGTGAGCTGGCGTGGCACACGTCTCCATGTCGTCTCCACGGATAAGCCGCCGTAACCATAGCAGCTCGCAGTTGCAGTGCAGAGGGTTACCACCAAAATTTAGACTTATGACAGCGTTGTAGGGGGTGGGACTTATTGCACCAGTCTGGGACCTGAAGGTGACAATAGAAAAAGAATCAGTAAACTTTTGCAAATGTGTGAGACTTAATGGAGTTTATTTAAATTCTATGTCCTTGATTAGTTTGGTTTCTAATTAACCAATCCATTTTGAACCAACTCTATAAACCTTATTCTTTAACACATTTACATGTATAATTGTTATCAACCAGTTTGAGTGCAGCACTGCATTGTTTTTATTTTCATCTGCATTTTTTTCCTCCTTGTCAAGGTTTAGCTTCTTGGACATTTTTATCCCTATTTTGTGAAATTGCAACAATTTCCTCCTTTTAGCGCTCACATTTTAAAGGAGAGGGTTTTTTTATTGCTATTTAATTGTTATGGATTCAAAGTAGTCTAAAGCAACAAAAATAATTTAGCTGTAAAGTAAGGTCTTGGCAATGGTAAGTTAACAAGAGCTTGCAGCCGAAAATGAGGGAGACAAGTGATTTGAAAATGAGCCACTACAGGCGGTTACTAACCTACCTAGGAGCAACACTTAGCAGTAGTGCTGTTATAAGCATCTTGAAGCTGGCCTGTGCAAATTAAAATTGGAATAATGTTCAAATATAAAGGAGGAAAACAAGGCTCTATTGCTTTATTCCTAAGCAGGTTTCTGGAATATGGTCCAAAAGATAGGGGTGGTAATACCACATATGTGAAATGGATGCGCATAATAACTCAGAACCCTATATAATTTTCTTAGCTAAGGCACATTGTTTTGTGTGCATGCGTGTTTATAATAGACAGAGAGAGAGAGACAGTGCATTGAATGATAGGGAGAGAATGGGAACAGGTGGTACTGTAAGAATAAACAAAGGAACCTATGAAAGGAAGAGGCAGTGGAAAGCTGCTGTATATACTCTCCCATGGCTACATACAGAGATAAAAAGCACAGGTGGGTAAATTTAAATGCCAGTGTTTTGTAAATCTCTCTCCACCACATTCAACATGAACTGTAATGAAACAACCAAGACTGAAATAGAAAGTAATCTCGAGTAAAATGTGGAAGCAATCAGGTTTGACTTACATAGAGGTGTGTGAAAAAATAACTTAATGAAAGCGTAGTTGAAGGGATCATTTGAACTTAAATTGAAGTTGCTTTTGACAGCAGGCCAACAGAAAAACATGTCTGTTGCTGATTAGAGCTCTGTTCATGGTTTGTCATACAACACCAGTCTGAGCGTTTAACAAGCAACATATTCATTTGACAGTTTGTAAGTCAGAAACCATACACCTGAGCAATTTGCTTCACAGAGGCCCTGACACAGCTTGAAACCAATAGTCATCGTTTTATTGTAACCATATGACCAAGGTCCTCTAACCTTAAGGAAGGTCTTATTTAACATAAACCATGATGTTTCTAAAACCTAACCAAATAAACACAAAATCCTTATGCCTAAGCCTAACCAAACCATGACCATTCCATAAACTTAACTGCAATTTTATCATTGCAACCATGACAACAAAAGTCCAGTGCACCTACTGCCATAGGGGCTCTATTTCAGGACACATTCCAATGGGTCGAAGGTAGGGACAAATAATCGTTGAGCTTGGAAGATTTGTTGGAAATACAATGAGAACATAGTAGTTGATAACGCCCACCATAGCTGATGTTCCAGTTAGTGGACTGGTAAGAAAGAAATGGTTTATAGTGGTGCATACATACTGTACATATGGATAATTAAACAGCAAATAAATAGTGAATGGAGTGACTGAAAATGTTACAGAATGTCTCCCCGTGTTTCTGTGCCCCAGCGTCCCTGTTAAAAACCACTTTGGTGGCTCTGTGGCTATGTCATTTGCCACAGAATATTTCCACTAAGCCACTTCTTAGAGAAACATAAAAGATGAAGCTTAAGAGCTACCTTGCAAAGAGGGGATCAGGAGGCAGGGTTCGGAGCCTGTTGGAGGTCATATCCAGTCTTGCAAGCTTATATAGCTCTCCAAAGACTCCTTCTGCTATGTGGTCTATCAGGTTATGATCCAAGTTCAAAGTGTGCAGACTGGCCATGTTCTGAATGGACTCCCACGGTACCCTGTAGCAATAAAATAGAGGAATATTTACTTTAGTGTGTGATTCATGGAATTAATATACTTTGTGCCAAGATTGTTTTTTTATTCTTGTTTAAGAGAAGAGAAATTAGAGAATTTCTCTTGAAGGTAGAGGCAGCTGTGAAGACAGATTTATTGCTCTGACGGTTAGTGTCCTCTGTGGGTACATTTCCACTTTATAACAAATGAAACTGATTAAAGTATAAGTGCACCACTATTATATCATTCACAGTTCACTCTTTATGTTCTGAGCATGTAATAGTTATCTAGTATTCCTTTTGTGGAGGCATTCACTTAAGAACTGTTTTACACAAATCGTGTCAAAACTGAGAAGTGAGATTTAGGAAAACAGGATAAATACTAAGTAATGCATTTGTTTTTGGAGATACAGTCATACCTACACACTTGATGTCATCTTTTTCTCTGTATTTGTTCAGGTCACTACACTGTGCGTCTTTTTCGTAAAAAGAATGTATGTTTGGCAGAATATAAACTCGCTCTACATCACACTACTGAGCACAGAGAAACTGCTACTACTGAATATCACACATTAGTGAGTTGATTTCAAAGTTCATTCGGTGTAGTGAAATGAATAGAAAGTTATTTCAGTCACTCAAACAGGAGAGAAAAACTTATTGACAGCAACAACAAACAGCCGATGGTCTCAGATTGTCTATACAGTAGAATCTCTCCAGACAATTAAGCATGTGAGGGGAAAGAAGTACATAAGGCATAATTATTTATTAAATTGTGGTTTAGATTAGAGAGAGAGACAAATGAATAAGGACATTGTAGCACAGCCTCTTTGACATGATCTAAATGACTGTATATAATCATTTTCTTTCCATTATGTCATTCATCTTACAATAAAGCCTCCGTACATAACATGAGTCAGATTTAGGCAGAGCAAAAGGGGAAAATCTGCCATAAATCAGGTTATAACAGTTTCTTTTTGATTTATGTTTTTAATAAGTAGAGACTGTAGTTGGGAGTTCCTAACCTTACGTAGTTGCAGAAACACCATTGTCCCAAAAGGTTAACCACATGAGATAAGTTCAGGGTCAAGAGCTGCTGTATAAAACTCTGCTACAACCAGTGTTTGAACAGCTGCAGTCCCTATCATGCCACAAAAGAGTTCTCACAAGACATGACCAGAGTTTTGAGCATTTTTAACCTTGATAAGACTGTGTCTGTAGAATCCACTGACTGAAACACAACAAAGGGCAAAGAGCAGTTGTTAATGTGTGCATCATTAAAACTCTTTATTCTTTTCTTATGGCTTGGTGTGGAGGTTGGAGAGAGGCCAGAGAGCTCCTGTAGAGGAGACAAATGAAGCATCTTAATCAGAACTGACAGCCAAAAGCTGCTGAATTCATCAACACAGTGGGACACTATGAACAGGAGAATAGGGAATATCGTCATTGTTCTGACTTATTATTTAGTCCAGAGGAATAGATAGTGAGACTGTAAGTGTCTCCATTGTCCTAGATGGAGATGAGTGGAATATTACTTAGTGCGCTAAAATATGAACGATATAGAATAGCTACAGCAATACACACTCACACACAGTGGAGTAAGCTCAGCCGTGCCCTCATCAAATCTTAACAAAATCAAAGTCAAAGAAAATTAGGACCTCATCAAAACTGATTCACTTTCAATTTCCTGAGCTTTTAGTCCTCTCCTCCCAGCCTCAGCAGTTTGAGCTAGTTTCTCTTGACTGTGTTTGCTGAGTCTTGCGAGATCATACAAGGTGTTTCCACTGTGCCTTGAGGTTTTGGGAGCTGAGCTGTGCTTCTGCAGCATGCAACTAAGACTGAGACCTGAGCACAGGAACCTCTAGAGTATTACAGTATGTTTCTATTTAACAAAGCAGAACAGATTAGAATGAGTGACTGCACAAAGCAAGAACGTGTGGCTAATCACAACAGAGGCAAGATCTTACCTCCTGAGGTTATTGTAGGACAGGTCGAGGTCCTCCAGTGTAAGCAAGAAGTCATCAAAGGCCTGGGCAGAGACTTTAACCAGCTGGTTGTTGTTGACAATCAGATGCTGCAGATTAACCAAACCTGCGAGGTCCCTGGGGCCCAGTGACGTCAAGCGATTACCTGGATGAACAAATATATATAAAACAATTGAGTATTTTTTAATTCTGTTGAGATGAACCATCATATCCAAGTAGTTAAAGTCAGGATTGTAGTTGTCCTAGAATGTAACTACTGTTCCAGCTCACCATCCAGATGCAGCGAGCGCAAACTCTCCAGGTCAGCAAAAGCCATTGGTCGAATCAGGTGGATGGTGTTCCTTGACAGAGTCAAATCAACCAAGCCAGTCATGTTGACAAAGTCATTCCCGCCCACCTCCGTGATGAAGTTGTCAGCCAGTCGCAGCTCGACGGTGCGCCGGTCAACGTGCGGGGGGACGAACAGGAGGCCTTTGTCGGCACAGAGTGTGCTGAGCGACTCTGAAAGGTTTCGACACACACAGTGGAAGGGACAGGCGGAGACCACGCCCCACGTCTCCCCTGCTCCAATCAGAGATGGCAGCAGGCAGCATGTGACCAGTGTCAGCCAGTGAAACGCTGGGAAAGGGACAGAATCAGGAAGGGTTCTTTTCGTAGCCCTGGGGCAGGCGCAGTGGACGAGATGGGATGAGGAGGGCAAATATGAGACGAGGAGAGGGGGGAGAAAAGAAAGAGAGTGAATGGATGGAGGGAAAAGGGTGGTAGGAAAGGTAGAATGTTCTGCCCTTTGTTCCGGGTGAAGGTGTGTGTGGGGCAGGTGTTTTCGTCTGCAGGGATTGAGGGGTGGGGGGACAGGCATGGTAGAACGCCTGGCTAGCCACAGACCTGGGAGAGAGAGATAGAGACAAAGAGGGAAAAAGGGGGAGAATAAGAGCAAAATGGGTTTTTAGTCTCGTTCCCTGGTCAGACATTGTTTTATAAGAGATGTCTGAAGTGTGTTTTTGTGTCTCATGTCCTGTCTTCCACCTACTCTGACTAGACAGAGCTGGAACAAGAGCCTGTTCTACACACATGCATACTTGTGTGGACCAAGGCCTCCTCCTAAATGAGTACCACTCAGCACTAATGCCCACTTGGTGCTTCACAGCATAAAAAAATCCATATTGAGAAATGGTTGATGCCCCTGCAACACATACTTTCTTGCTGTACCTCTTACATGTACACTTACAAGCGCACACTCACAGACAGCCCTGCATACCTCTGCACCACAACAGCTCATTGCCTAGCAACAACATCCTAAAAGACTGAACACAGCCAGTCCCCATAGTAACAGTTACCTAGAAACCTGTAAGAGCGGATTAGACAAGTGTTATATCATAGGACCCTTTCTTAAGACTGGGTCAAGGAATCAAATTTGGTCACCAACCTATCAGCCTTGATTCCACAGCAAGACTCAGTGGAGTACAACACATAGAGGGGTCCCATTGTAATCTCTGACGTGCAGAAAACACACGCTTACTTACACACACATTCCTAAATACAGCTATGGTCATGATAAGGTATAGAGATGAGTCACTGCCACTGATTGGCATGCATAGTAGTTGTCATAGCAACTGTAACCTAGATACAGAGAGAGTGACAGGGAGTGTTGATAACAGTCACATCTGCGGTGGCTAGAGAGAGGAGACACAGGACGAGACGGTGAGTCAGACACAGAAAATAACATCGTTGGAGAAAGACGGGTATATTTTTATGTGGAGCAATCTGGAGACTTGTAGTATGGGGTATGGTGATTATAAAGTGATGTATAATGTATGCAATCTAATACTTTGAGTAGCAACCAGGCACAACCGTATATCATGCTGACTTTACAAGTTGATGGAAATTGCTGGCTCAATATTTTCCATTAGTCCAAGAGTCCAAATGCACTCTTTCTGCAAGAAACTGGAAGAGGGTTTACCATCTAGTTCAGATTTGAAGCAGTATCGATATCAAAGCGTGGGTGTTTCCAGGGCCATTTTGCATTCTCCTGCTTACTACACAGTTTGTTTTGGTCTTCTTCCAAAATGTGAGCTTCATGTTAGACCAAGCTACAGTGTCCCATTTCTGAACCCTACAGTCTACATTGAAAAGAAAACCCTAGAAACCTAGTGCTTGATAAATGATACATTTTTATCTCAGACTCGCACATGTTCTCACTGTTGTGATGTTTGGGTGTTACATTAAGCCACTGGGCTATTAGTTAAGGAGAGAAATGAAGTTTGATTTGATAGGATGGGCATAAAGACAGGTTTGTTCCCATTCAGATGAGTTACAGCAACTTAAATGTTAGAAAACACTGTTTTTGCTTTAAATCAAAAATACTTAACTGGCTCTTGGCTGGTCTAGGGAGATATAATGACTACTAGGAATTCAGCACCTTTTTCAAACCAATAGTTATTTCCTTATGTCTGGTAGCATCAGTTTTAAAAAATGAAAAAATTTGCTTGCTTGGTTGGCAGGGCAGCAAAGGCACGAATGCCTGCGGTGACAGCCAGTCCCCCGGGGCAGTTGATATTAGAAGTTGACTGCTCCTGAGCTCCTGTGGAGGCGTGCATACTAAAATGTGAAAATACTCCAGCAAAAGTGAAATGCTGCTTAAAAAAGTGTCTGCTCCGGCCCCTGAAAAGTCCTAACGTCAGGTGGTGTTGTAGAGCGAGCAGGGCACTTCAGTGCTGGCTCTCCCAGCTTACCCCTGTACTTTGCAAATGCTTGCTGCTCAGACAGCTTACTTTACCCACAGCACGCTGAATGTCAATACGCTCTACTCCTTCATTTGACCTTTATCTTTGCTTCACTCTCCACTTTCTTATATTTTTTTCCCTGCTTTAGTCTGTCCCTGTCTTGCTCTTTCTCACTTTCATAATAGCACTCCTGGTCCGCCTCTGCTTTTCTATCACCCTGTCTTTAATTTTCACCTCTTCTCTCCTCTTTCTCCTTGTGAATGCCTTCACTTCCTACCTATTGTGTCATACCTACCACACCCTCGCTCTCCCCCCACAGCGCTGCCCTCACCTGCCTCTCCTCTTCTTCCTCTGACTCTATTACTCTGGATTGTTCTTTGTTTCTTTGCCGTCCACCCTTTACCATCTATCTCTGACTGCAGTGTTCCTTCTTCTGTTTTCTATCTTTCTTTACCCTGTTTCTCCATCCTTGCTCACATTCCATCTTATAAACCTTTCCGCCTCTGGCTGCTCTGTAAATTTCCGCATTTTCTTTCTTTATGTCTCATTCCCTCTCTTTCTTTCTCTCTGTCTTGTCTGCCCTTGAGGCAACTTGAGTACGACAATGTTATCAGTCACAACTCTACCTCACCACCTTCCCCTCTTTTCTCCCTCCTCCCCCTCCTCCGCCTCCTCCGCCTCCGTCTTTTTGTCTTCTCTCTATCGCTTGCTGACTCTGCTGCCCTCCATATCTCCTTGCCTTCTCTGCTCTTGAGTCACAAACTATGCACACATACGTGCACACACCCTCAGATCCTACGTGCCACGCGCAGGATTTTGCTCTACTCTCTGCCGTGCTCTACCTGTCTCAGACATGCTGCCTCTCCTCAGCTGCTTTTTCTTTCCTCTCTTGCCTCCTTCATTTATCTAACTTTTTCACCCATCCTTCCTCCCAATCTGCTTTATCTCTAGATTTTCCCATGCCTTCATTTTTCTCCCTTACCTCGTCCTTGCTCATCGTCGTCCTATCATTTTCTACCTCCTTAAATCTTTCTACTGTTACTTCCACGCGTCCCTCTCCCCTTAATCTCTTGCTCTTCCTCTGTTAGGGAGTAGATCTAATTTGCAACTAGAGCAGTGCAGTATTGAAGCTTTCTGACACACACACACAAGTTGGGTGTAACCGATCTGTCCACTTGCTGATCGATCTGACCCACAGAGCAGGATAACACCCTGTCCCATTCGTTTACACTCCTCCTCTAGTCTTTCTTTTGCTCTCAAATATACTTATGTGTTGTTCCTTGCCATTTAAAGGTGGTAATCATCCAAGTAAATATTTTCACAGGTATGAAGAGTATTTATTTGCAGGGCTGTTCATATAGCAAGGTTTCTTGTTTGAGGATGAGACAAAATTAGATTTCATTACCACTCCAAACCTTAAATGGCATTTATGTATTTATTTATGTAATTGATTTGTCTCCTCTGATTCTCTTGCACCCTGTGGTGTGGTGTACCTCAACCCTTTTAATCTTTATTGCACTAGGCTTATTGGTAGAGAGGAAGCATGTAACAGTCACTGGCAGCAGGACATGAAAGCTTGGTCTACAGCAGGAGGAGGAAGTCTATTTATTTTTTTACCACAGCCAAGCCAAACTTTTTTGCAGTACTTTGTCTTTATTTATTTATATATATATATATATATATATATATATTATTTATACTTTCATTTCTCATTATTTATACTTTCATTTCAGTTCTTCAAAATCAAAAAAAGGCATTATATTATGTTTTATGTCCTGTATTGTTGTATGGCATGGTTTCTATTAGGGGTACTGTTGCTGTGGATTGAATTGATTATTTCCATAAATATTTTAGTTTATAAAATGTCATCACATACTAAACATTGGCCGTCACAAGATCCCAGAGACTAAGGTCACGTCTTCATATTGCTTGTTTTGTATGACCAACAGTCAGTCAATTTTACAATGATATACAACACAGAAAAGCAACAACTTCTCTCATTTGAGAAGCTGCAACCAGCAAATATTTGGTATGCTAAATACTTTTACTACTCGATTAGGCAATTAATCAACTAGTTGTAATTAGTTACTAGTTTCTTTTTTAATCCTGATTTCATTGAGCATAGTGTTTTTCCCTTGTCTTTACCCACCTCTTTGAGCCGTTTCTTGTACTGCTGCAACAGTAGAATTTAGTGTCATTAAAGTCTTATCTTACACATTGTCATGATTCAGCATACAGGTGCAGTACAGTATGTGTGAGTATCAGCATGTGTGCATTCTCAACCATCCGCTAGTGCTAGTATCTACTTTTAATGTATGTGGTGGTAGATGCTAGACTCCATCGCTTGTCAAGTGTGTGTGTGTGTGTGTGTGTGTGTGTGTGTGTGTGTGTGTGTGTGTGTGTGCCTGTGTGTGTGTGCCTGTGTGTGTGTGCCTGTGTGTGAATTAATGTGACATTTTTCCGCACTTAGGAAGCCTTCACTTGCTCTTAAGAGTTTGCTGCTGAATTTGCAATAAGAAGGGACACACACACACACACACACACACACACACACACACACACACACACACACACACACACAACCGCTCACTTTCTTGATCATACACACACACAAAGCAATAAGGCCGAAACCCCTTTGGTATCAACACTTTTAGGAAAGTAAAGAGTAATGGTAGTGGGTCGATGAAAGACGGATGATTGAGAGACAAATCAGAGGGAAGTGACAACAAAAGAGATCAGACGAAGAGGGTGGTAAAGCTTAAAGACTACCCCATGTGTGTTTGTGTGTGTGGACAAACGCATCACATGAAGAAACACGTGCTTTTGTCTAGATGTTTGTGTGATCTTAGACATGTGCACTGTATGAGCGTCGATGGCTGCTTTGTTTTGTTTTGGGTTCTTTTGTCATGATGTTTTTTTCTATTGTTCCCTCTATTTTGAGAAGTCTTTCGCTACACTACCCTGTGTGAACCCTCAACCCTCCAGAGAGCAAGAAACAGACGGGTGGAGAGAGCAGAAAGGCTGCATGAATTCAGAGCGAAAACATGAACTAAAAGCGTCTGTGGAAGGAACTACTCAGTACCCCCAGTTTTGGAGTGCGCGTCAGAGCTGCGAAGCTGAACCTAACCTCACCCTAACTTCCAAAAAATTCTGTTCAAACAC